TGATACTTGGTTGATAGAGGCTCGCTTTATTTCTCTCTCTATCTCTCATTTGCGATGATCATCGCAATCGTTGTCGTTGGTCGCGATGGGTTTTTGGTGCTGTGGATGTTGGCAATAAGCTACCTACATCGTTCAGAGCGTGTGTGCACCATCATCCCGCTGCAGAAAAAAAACGAACCACAACAAAAAAAAGTGTTTTGTCTTCTTGCAAATCTCCTCGCATAAACTGTACGGCACACATTATTCGCGTCTCGCTCGGCCATATCATCGCCGTTGATACTGCTGCTGCTGCTGCTGGACGCGTGTGTATGTGTGCAACGGCGTGCGAGGGACACAAGCTATTTTTTTTCTCTCTCGAATCCGAAATAGGATTCATAGCACGTTTGATATAATGTAACAAGTAATAAAAATAAATAAAATTTAATGTGCAATGAGTTTTTTGTTTTAATTCACATGCTTGTCATGGCTGCGCGAGAGATCGTCGTGTGTATGTCGCGCTCACTCATTCGGTATGTTCGATGCGATTCGTATCTCTCGCTATCTATCTCTGCATGCAAGTGATTTTTGCCATTCAAACGCTTTACACACTGTCACACGTTAGTCATATTTAACGTGATTATTTTCAAGCTTGATGCGTTGTGCGCGCCCGCTCACACCCGCTCGCTCGGCTCACTTCTGTGCTCGCTATGGTTGGCTTTTTTTCCACTCGGTTCGTTTCACTATGCACCTTCTCTACGTGTGCTGTCTATCGCTCAGTTTCACTCGATTACGTATTAGTTGTGTGTGTACGTCGCTTTTTTTTTCTTTTCTTCTTCTGTTGCACTCTTTATCCTCCTTATTATACGAAATAAGTGCATCAATTATTCAATTTGCTCATTTCAATTTGATTGCCTTAGCTATTGGCCGCTCTTTTGTGTTGTATTACGGCTGTGTTTCTATAGAAACCATTGTGTCGAGATATCGTTCGCTCCTCACACTCGTTCTCTCGCCTGTCGCATTTGTTGTTGGTGTCGCAGCGAGTTTTTTTTTTCTCTCGCATGGTTATTTTTTCTACTCTCGTTGCACTCGCTCTCACTGTTGACCATGTGTGGTTTATGAGTTTTTATTACCGTATTTTTTTTTGTGTGTGTTTTCTTTTGCGCGTCATACGCATCCATTTATCGACCGTCTAACACAATCATTTCCTCAAATTCCAATCGTATCACACCATTTAATGGTTCGACATATTCAAATTGCATAAATTGATAATGTTTATGACAATGTTTTGTGCGGTTGACATGTTTGACAACGTTGCACACACACAAAATGTGCGCATTTTGGTTTTCCGGATTCCGGCCAAATATTTTCGTGTTCGTGGCGTACGACTTCAGACACAGAGATAAAAAGACTGTTTCAAGCGGGAAACCTCCCATAAATACACGCTTAATGACAATCAACTCGTGAATGCAACCAGCCAAAACGGAAAACACACAATTTTCATATGAAAACAAACAAAACTAGCTTCTGGCACTGGTTCCAGGTGATTTTTCGTTGCATTGTCAGAAGAACTCTCTTGATTCATTAAATTCAATCGGAATTCACAAATTTAACACGCTCCTTGACGATGATTGATAAATGATCATCTCTGTTCAGCGCCTCTTATTCGATCGGCATTGTAAGGCCAAACCAACAAAAGGGACCCACAAAAACGAAAGACAAAACAACAACGACGGAGGTGAAGAACGAAACAAAAAAGCAACGAAAATATTTTGAAAACAATTAAATGTTGATTGGATCGTTGTTAGCAAACAAAAATGAATGGAACAATAGCGTTTGACATAGACTAGAAAAGGGAAGGAATGAAAACATACACACAGCTCGATATTCGTATCGAATTGGGTACAGCATTCAGAACGAATGTGTGGATTTTTTTATTCCTCGTTTTCGGTATAATCGATGAAAATGAACAAATTTTGCACACTTTTTGCCGCATCTTAAACACCATTGTCGTGGTCGTCGTCTCGCTATTGCTCCCAGAAGCTTGGGTTCATGCAGTTCTTCGTTCACCGTTCAAATGGCAAAACAATGAATAATAAACCATCAAATCGAAACGTGTTAGTTAGTAAATCAAATGTGTGCTCTTTTTTTTTGTTCAACTCACCAATTTTTTCTTCTACTATTGCTGCTGCTGTTGATGATGATGCTCTTTCTCTTCGGCTGTGTGACAACATGCAATCGGAATCGATGCGCTGCGTTTTTGAACTCGGTCGGTTTTTGTCTTGTGTAAGTGAGTGTGTTTGTGCCACATTGAGACATGTGATATTTCTCAAATCGATCGGATGAATATAATGAAAAATTACTTTGCACTCGGCGGAGAGCGACACGAAACAAAGCGTGACAATTAGGGGAACACCAAATCATCTGCCTTATTGCTTGACGAGAGATTCGATTCATTTTTTTTCTTCTTGTTTTTTTTCTCATTCGTTTCTGATCCGTGTGTATGTGTGTTGTTTGAATGCCAATCGTTTATCGATCGGTTTTGATGGTCGTTATCGCTTCGAGCTCATTTGCTCACATTGTAATCGTACATGGAATTCGCTTTGCAACTGACATCAAATCGACACACTCAACACCGTATCGCATCGAAACGATCTCGAAATCAATTCAAATAATATCCGAAAATTATATGGATTGACTTTTTTTTTCTTCTTCTCGACTCGTTGTGGTTTGCATTTCGGGAAATTTGATCGCAGTGCTGACCAAAATCCATCCATAAATTAACGATGGTTATTAGATTTCGAGCGACGGAAGCAGTTTTATTGCATCAGTTAAATCGACTTACACATCATTTTCTCAGCTCTCGCGATGAAAATAACAAAGATTTTTGATTAAAAAAAATTAAGATGAGGCTTCTCTTGGGCTTTTTTTTGGTAACTTTTGAAATACTGACATCCAAATCTTTTTCGGTCAATTCACTTCGATTTTTACGTCCAATTTCTTGTGCCCACCACAAATAACAACAAAAAAAAAGTATAAAATGATTGTGGATAAAAAGCATTTGATATGGAATTTCCAGGACATTATGCTGAAATATCTCGAGTGAATTGCGAGCGCGCGAGTTACACGTGATAAAAGGCGGCAGATTGATTGGCAAAATTGCCGAATAAAAAGCATAATATTCGTTCCGATAAATGTGAATTAATTGTTTTTATATGGCATATAAAACGATAAAAACTCCCAATTAATAATTCATTTTTTCATATTTGCATGCGACTTCATGCCGATTGCCAATGATGATGATTCCCATGTGGTGGTGTTCCTTTTTTCTTACTCTCTCTCTCTCTCTCTCTCTCTTCTCTCTCACTCTCTGTCTGCCTCTCCTCCTGTTTTTGTTCTCTCTCGTTCATTTCTTCGTTGGAACCTCATTCACTTAACTTATCTGTTGGAAGACTCAGTGTGATCGTTTGTGATATGAGGCGCTGTGTGATGTTCGCATTGGATTACGTTCGTTTGTTGTGGTCGCCGTTGTCGTCGTCGTTGTTGTTGTCGTTTTGGGCATGTGCTTACACACATTTGCAGAGACACATTTGTTTATATCAGCTCATTGCTTACAACGAAAATTTAATTCATTGCCTCACACTCGGCACGACATTCAATTTTATTGTTATCGTTTATTATTTTTCGGTTGTTGTGCTGTTGTTGTTGGTTTGGTTTTTTTTTTCTCGGGTGATCATTAATTTGTTGTATCTTCTCGGTCATCATATTGCCAGTAACTCTCGGCTACCTACCTCCACGCGAGATGCGCAATGCGCTGCAATGCAACTGATCAGTTACACAAAAATCGTTTCATTTTTAATAATTTTGTGCATTGATTCATTTTTATTATAATCGCTGTGAGTGTGTACTGTTTTTTCGGGCATCGGAGATGCTTGCGGTGCAGCAACCCATTGAATTTGTAATCACCGTAATAAAATGTCTTCGGACTGGATCAGGCCCGATGTCATTCGATGCCGTGTGCGCGCGCGCGATGGAGCGGGAGGGCACACCGGTGCGCAATCCGTAATTGTTTCAAATAAATAATGTTTTATTAATAAGAAATGGTGATGATGACCACGTACGGGCCACATTCAGCATGCCAGATGACCCTCGCGCATTCAATTGCACACAAGCTAAGCCAAGTGAAGCAAGCGAGAGGCCAAACGAAGAAGAGTCACCAACTTCTTTCTTTTGAAGAGAGAGAGAGAGAGAGAGAGAGAGAGAGAGATCGAGAGATGCTGCTCGCAGCGGCGATATACAGCATGAAATGTAACGTAAAACACAAATAATTCAGCGCGAAGTGCTTGCATTTAAATAACAAAAAATATGAGGCCTGAAAAATTAAGGATATAAAACTCCATGCCAAATCATCGAACGCACGAAACAAGACAAAAAAAACTCAGTCACTCACTCACTCAAAAGCTGAGAGCACAGCCGAGAGAAAGACGGAAAGTATGAATGAGACAAAAAAGAAGTGTGTTGCACGCAAAATTTGGTCACATTTCTCCGGGAGAAAAAAAAACACACATCGGTGAGTGCATGTAATTTAATCACATTCGTGTTCCGAAAGCAGACACATCAACGAACGAACGAAAAAAAAAAATTGTATACGATAAGAAATAATCAACCGGTGAATATTCAAGAAGAAAAAAATACCTGCAAAATAAATAATATTTAATGAAATCGCTTTACGAACGATGCTCATTTATTATTTCAAACGTAGAAGAATGGGGGACGTGAAAAGCCGAATTCCGAAATTCAAAAGCGGAATAAGCGCGTGTGTGCGCATGAGCGCGGACAAATGAAATAAATACGATATGGCTCTTAA